TTCCTTCAGCCGAACAACCCATACTCAGCAGGAGGGGAGAAATGGTCCCACTTGCACAGGCATTTGATCTAAGAGAGAACCTTTTTCAGGAACAAAGTCAGAAACTATAGCTAGTAGAGATGATGACTCATAAACTGGACTTGAAGGACTCTTTCACTTTAAGGTTAGGATTAGTTGGGGCCTGGCACAATGGCCTGGTGGCTATATCTTTGCTTTGCATGCACCGAGATCCCATATGGGCACTGGTATATGTCCTGGCTGCTCCACCCCTCATCTAGCTCCTTGCTTGTGGCCTGGGAAAGCAGCAGAGAATGGTCCAAAAACTTTGGGACCCTGCACCCATGGACCTGGAGGAAGCTCCTGATTTCTGGCTTCAGATCGGCTGGGCTACAGCCATTGCAGTTACTTGGGGACTAAACTAACAGATGGGAAGATCTTTCTCTCTGTATCTCCTCCCTGTGTATCTGCCTTTACAATAAAAGTAAAATAGAATTTTCAAAAAAATTAGGATCAGTTAATGAAAAAATGTAAGTTGTGCTGTTCCTTTTGTGCTGAGCAAGAAGATGTGATCACTTCTCGTAAGGAGCTTAGGAAACAAGAATGCCATATTTAGAACATATTGTGCAGAATGGCATCTGACTTGGCTATAAATGCAATAGCAGTTGAAGGGAAACACTTAAGTTTGGAGGCCAGACCAGCTTTGATAGGAATAGGTGAGTGAGGAGAAGCTGGCTAGAGAAGGACAAGGGAACACTAATGTTTTTCTTTGTGCATGGCCACAGAGATGGTGTGTGGTGGAGAAGTGCGAAAATGGATAGGATGACAGAAGTGGGGGGATATACCCCATCCTTTGAGTGGACACTTGTCTTCATTGTAAAAAAGTTTTGTCTATGTCTGTTGTTCCTTTTGAAACAGATTAGTTTTTATTTCATCGAGAACTGTACTAAAAGATGTCTGATTTGTTCAAGGGAGAATATGTTGAAGCAGTTGCGTTTCTACATCTGGTTTGAGAACCAGGATGGGCATTTTTCCCCCACAGCATCTGGGCGTTTTTCACCAGGAATGGTATTGCACAGCCCAGGGAATGTGAACGTGCGTGCTCCTGGTGGAGTTCCTGATGTTACTAGTACTAGTGGGCATCCGACAGGGTGCCAAAGGCCCTGCGAGGCACTGGGACACCCTGCACTGTCCTATGTCTGCCTGGAGTGCAATGGGGCATTTGCAGAGGATTCCTGAACCTCATTTGGTTCCCTGTGTACCTTTTTTTTTTTTTTGCTATATATGCAAACACTTTTTTAAAGTTCATGAAAGAATAGGAAGGTATTCATTTTGATGCCAAAGCATTTTGAAAATCTGTGCATACAAGGTATCTTATTTAAAAGCTTTTGAAGAATATATTTTAAAATGGAATCGTGCAGAAATTTCAAATTTTTCCTCCAAAATAAGTATATCTTTTAGCTTCATTCTTGTACAGATTTTATGAAATTCCTTCATATACATATAAATATCCCTCTTGTACCACTATTTTAATATTTCTTTTTGTTTACTTATTTTTCATCAGCTTTTCTTCTGTGTACTTCCTGATACTGGCTTGCACACCACTAGTGGTATGCATACTAACTTGGAGAAATAGTAGACAGTCACAGGGGAGTAATTTATAGCTGGCCCGGTTTTCTGCAGTTGGTAGTTGACATAGAAGCCTTAAAGCTCTCATTCTATGTAACCATGCATCCAGTAGGCTCCTCCAACTTAGAGTACCTCCTGGGGATACTTCTCCAGATAGAGAGAGGTCACACAGCACAAACAGTTGCTCTGGCCTCTGCATGTACGCAGAAATGTCTGGTTAGGAGGGCTGGATTTGCTGGTCAGAGTCATACTTACGTTCCACTTACCTGGTTCCAGCCTGCATCTAATATTGCTGCCATCTCCCAGTTAAGTGGCACTCTTCGCCCGAGATATGGTCACCCTGCAGGTGTGGAAGAATCAACAAATTCTGCCCTTGCTTCCATATAATTGGCTGCCAGCATCTGTTGCCCTCTTGCTGTCCAGAAGGAAAGGGAATGACGACAGAGAGCAATGGGAACACAGATGCTCAGTCCTCAACACCCGATGAACTAGACCAGAAAGCAGTTAAAACAAAAACAAACTTCTTCCAGATTCCCCAGCAGTAAACAGACGAATTACAGATTACAACTCTACAGAAGGCAAGAAAGGAAGCAGTTGCTTTGGTGTTGGAGACTGGCCTCATAGCAGGTGGTGCATGGGTACAGCATGTGCTGGAGTGAGGGATCCCGTGACCAGATGGGAGTCAGGCCTGCAATAACCTAAGGACCTCCCATAGGTCTCTCGTAGGGATTTCTTCCTCCACCATGCCACACATCCCCAGACTGGGGACCAAGCTTTTAACACACGAACCCTCGGGGCATAAGGGACAAAGTCCTGAGGACTCCTGCTAATACGGGCAAATATGGGAGGGATCTAGCTGAGGAGGTGAGGAGATAGCTTTGGTGAACCAAAAACCTTCATAAGAGGCAGGAAAGATGTGCCAGCTCTGGTCTGAGATGTGCTACTGGCTCCTGAAGAGCACAGGGCATCAGGCCCCAGCAAGGGCAAGCCTGGCGAACTCTACCCTATGTCTGAGACAGGACAGTGCATGGAAGTCAACAGCCAACTTCACACTGTGGCCTGTGGTGGGTGTCTGAGGAGTGAACCGGAAGAGCCTTGGCTGGTTGTCCTTCTGCCCCTCCGCCTTTCAAATAACATGAGAAGGAATAAATCAATACTTTCAAAAGTATGAGCAAGATCTACAAACTCATGAAGGACGTAAAATTACTTCAGAATAAAAAAATTACATGCATAATTCAGAATTTTGATTTGAAAGTATAAAAGTGATATAAATCTTCCCCAAACACTGTGTTTTGATTCCAGTGAAGGCAGTAAGCACATACTCTTGACCTGAAAGAAGTTGATGGGTATCGCAACTGTGAATGTTTCTGAAAAAATGCAAAAAAATAAAAAGCCACCCTGTGATGAAATCAATCAGGTGACTCAAATAAAAGTAACAAGTAGGAATAGAAAAAACATGGTTGAATACTAATAATGACAACAACAGTTAGGGAACATTTAAACCTCACAGTGTGGTCTTCAGAGCAAACTGCGTGTAAAGAGGAGCCTCATGGATTACTCTCACAAAAATGAAAGTATTAGGTTTCCAACCAGACACAAATGAATAAGCAACAAAAAGCAGACGGCTTAGGAAAAGGAGATTAAGTGTCAGTTGCAGAACGTGATTGTGAAAACGTGGAGTTAACGTTGTGCATTTTCGTGGTTTTTCTCCCTCTTTGTTAAATTGGATGTGTGTTTAAGTATTTAACTGCAAGTAAGTCTACTGTTTCATTTTTGCTTTTTATCTCTTCTGTTTCACTGAAACATTAAATAACCCTTATTCAAGAAAAGCTCTCACAGCTCTCACATCCCATTGTAAATGAAATCATTGCCATCTGCCTGTCCTGACAGTACTTGTGCGTGAAGAAGAGCACAAAATGATTGCCAACAGTAAACACCATGGTGGGGGATGGGATCGTTCGTTTTCTTCTTTTTATTTTATTGTTGCTTAGATTTTTTTTTAGCAAGCTCATTTTTTTAAATAAAAACCTGGAAATCACTTTTGTTAATACAGAATGTTGATCAGTAATGCCATCATTGTTCTAGGTGCTTCTTCGTCCTTTTTTTTTTTTTTAATTGCAAGGTTGACAAACACCAGAAACAGCCCTGAATAATATTATTGTAACTCACCCATAAGGTATTGACAACTGCCTAGAGGCCAAAGGCAGAGCAGTGGGAAGTGATCTTTCTTATAGGATGCCTTTTGCCTTCTTAGGGGATCACTAACAGAGCGGCAGGCTGGTGGCCCACATCTGCCTGCCACTGGTGGACAGGAAATGCGGTTCTGTGCTTTAACATTCAAGAGTCGGAATGTGCCCATAACCAGTGCCCTCTGTTTGGATGCTTAGGCTCCCTGTCAGTGGCTGCTCTGCACCCCTCATGTCCTCCAAGGACAGTGTTTTCTAGCCTCTGCGCCTTTGCACCTGCAGTTCCATTTGCATGGCACCAACCTCCCAGTCACTCCTCACTCACCCTCCTCCCCGCTCCTTCTCCCCTTGCTCGGGACTTGGCTTTGGCCTTCTTCAAAACTCACTGAATTAGGACATGTCTACTAACCCAGGGCACTGTTCTATCCCATTCACTAAGTGTCGTGCTGCTTGGAAGGCTCAGGATCTGGATTAGGCAGTGCCAGGTTGAAGTTTTGTATTGCTCTTCAGCAGCACATGCTCTCTGTCTCCCCTCTGGGCTCAGCTGCTCTTGTGGCCCCTGGGGCTCATGGCTAGCACCTCTCCTCCAGCTCCAGTGTGCTTGCTCTCAGCAGGCATCTTGGCTCCAGCCATTGTTGGCAAAGGCACCTTTTCTTTTCCTTTTTTTTGGTTGAAGCGCTCCAGGAGAGAGCAGCTGTTGGGTAGAAATGTTACCATGCAGTACAGGCCTTCCCACAGGGAGTATGTCACCCTTGCTACAAGCCCCACTGCCAGCTTCCAGGCAGGGCCCCAGAAGAGCTATTTTATTGTGTCCTCCCAGAGTTTTATTCTATCTCATGAAGAAAATAGGTGTTTAAAAAAGCCTCTCACAAGTTTGTACAGGTCATCCTAAATGCATTTTTTAAATATAATAAAGGAAATAGATTAATTATCATTGAGTTCCCCTGGTGGAATTTCTATTGATTCTTGTTTTTTTCTTTTCAAAATTTCTGCTATTAAATACTTTCCTAGGCACTTAATGGCATTTCTTAAACCCTGAGACATGACACTGTGCATAGCAACCCTCAGGAAGTCCAGCGGTAGCTGGGCCCTACAAGGCGGGAGTGCTGGCCAGGGCCTCTCCACATTGCTGCCACCAGCTGATGTGGTTCCCAGCTTGTTTCACCTTTATGTCTTTTTCTTCTTCAGGTGATGGAATGACTGGAATCCCAGAACACATCCTCAACAGCTCCCCATCAGACCGGCAGATTAACCTGCTGGCCCAGAGGCTGGGCCCCGAGTGGGAGTCCATCGTGCTGTCACTGGGACTGACCCAGACTGATGTCTATCGCTGCAAGGCCAACCATCCCCACAACATCCAGTCACAGGTGGTGGAGGCGTTTGTACGCTGGAGGCAGCGCTTAGGGAAGCAGGCCACCTTCCGAAGCTTGCATGAGGGTCTCCGGACTGCAGAGGTGGACCCATCCCTGCTCCAGCACATGTTGGAATGATGTTGCCCAGGAATGGGTCCCCAAGTGACATGTGTCCAATCCTGACACTCAATGTTGTTATTTTGTTTTGGTGTATATGGTTTTTATCCTTTTAAATGATCTTTAGATGGAAGGAGAAAACTAGATTTGACATTACTTGCAAAGCCAGAGTAGTCAATCCATCTGTCACATTGGCTCAAAATGTGTTGTTTGTAATGGCTTACAGGTTGCATTGTTGTAATTGTGCAGCTCTTAATTGGGTGGCTGCCTTTTAGTAGGTAGGCAAATAAAAAAGTGATAATACCATGTTGTCACATTATATCCCAAATGTCTTAGACTTAAAACAATCTCTTTTATGTTTTCTAGATACTGAACTGTGGACTTTTTTTTATAATGATGATGATAATAAAAAATGAACTACTATATATGATGTACCCCTTTTCATGGGAAGCCATTGTGTGTTATTGTTTTCTCAGTCTTTTTTGTAGTTTATAGAATTGTGTTGTAAAATCACAGTAGTCATTTCTTTGGAGCAGAACTGATAATCACAGTAAAATCATTCCTTTTCCCAGATTAGATAAATAGCACGGGCAGGATGTCTGTATTCAATCTAAGACACTGAAGTTCCCTGGAAAGACAAGTTCAAGTACCAGCATGCATCTGTGAGCCCAGCAGCTTTGAACAGTTGTGTAAGAAACTCTTTGGCCGATTTATTTAAAGCATTTAGTCTGCGGGGGACAAAAGAAGGTGTGGCTGTTTTGTTGAAGCCATAGTGATTGAAGAGTTGTGTTCCTGGGTGGGCTGATTTCATCTTCTGTCCTTTTATTAATAGCATCCCATGTTTATAAAGTGCTTTAATATTTTCCACACTTCTGTAGAAGCCATCTCACTTGGATGGCTCAACAATCCTGGAAAGTAGGTGAGGAAGCGTGGGTAACAGAGATTAAGAGACTGGCCTGGGGTGAGTGAACTGCAACCCACGTCCTTTACAGCAGTTCTAAGTAGCTCTTTCTCTCTCTAGCATGCTAATCTGAAAAGCTGCAGCCCTGCTCCCCACCCCTGAGCTGCATCCTCTGGGGTGTGTGTCATTTACCCTTGGGAAGACTCAGTTGCCTGCTTTTAAAATGGGGGAAATGATTTTACTTGGTAAAAGAGAAATCCTCAGATGTTTTAAATTTAAATGCAAGGGCCTGGGAGGTAGAGAGGAGAAGAGATATTCATCAGTTAACAGCTGCTGGTGGTGAAGCTAAGACCATTCTAGACTCCTGAATGTATGTTGAAATCTTGTCCTAGTTCCCATCATGGCCAACTGCCAGAGCCACCTCACCTGGCTCATACATAGATTTTGCGTAATATTAGCCTCTACCAATCAGAAACAGCAAGGACTTCCCCTTATGAACCAGCCTGTCCTATTATCCCAAAGCCCTTCCTGACTCTGCACCATCTCACTCTTCTTTTTTGTAACCAGTGTAGGTTCAATGTGAACAACTCATGCTCTCATTACAAGTATTGGTGGTAATATGACTCTTAGCCCTAGGTATAGTGGACACTATCCCAAGTGCTAGCTAGCCTTACAGCAACTGGATCCAGGAGCTGATCCTTTTTTCTGGCTGACATCTTGACAACAATTAAGAAGACTCTTTGTGCCAGTGATCTGTCGGTCTGAAGGTTTTGGTTCACCATGCCTACCTCCAAGATCTCTGGGATTTTTCAAGGAGTAATGCCTTCCAAGGGTGTATTCAGAGCTGATTCCTGGTCCACCCTTGGAAAATGGCAGCTGTTACCTAGCTGCTATGGCTGAATTCTAGTTCTCACATATGGTGAAGATTGGCTCAAGTTGAGGAGACAATGGGAGGGACTGTTATTGACACATTTCTTGCTAACATTTAATATTTGATGTGATTTTGTCAGCTCTACAAAGGGTCTTACCAATAGAGGGACAAGTGAACTATTCCCAATCCTTGCTCTGTCCTTATTGTAATGATTGAAGAACTTATTGTTTAATTCTAATGTAACTCAGGTTCTTTTGTTTTTAAAGGAGAAATACGTTGTACAATTTTTCCTTCTCCCAAAGACAAGTGTATAGTGTAGCAAACTGATATGAAACGGGTGCTCAGGAAGATGACAATGGTGTATTAATACGTCCTTTCAGATGTCTGATGACCACATTCTGCTTAGTGAAAAAAAGGTAAGTTGATCCATGGGTCTTTTCTTCAGTGAACTCATTTCAAAAACATTGTCAATTATCAGCTTATTAATTATAGATTTCCCATTTTGTAATGTGGTCAGTAGTGCATTATCTTGTAGAATGCTGTGCTTCTGGTCATATCGCTGCGCCCAGCGATGGACCATACTTCTGTGATGTCTTCCAGAAACTCCATGTTTTGTTGAACCTAGGACTTACTCCTTTGCTGTTTCTCCACTGGGTTTCCTAATAGGTAGTTCCTTGATTTGTCTTTCTACTCTCAGAGTCACATTTATGCATGAGGGTGAACAGCTGGTTCTGACTGACTAGATGGCATTTTAGGACTGGGTCTGAAGATTGATGGAGTCGTCTTCTTGCTATCCATAGGGAATCTGTCACTCACAAAGAGGCTTCTGCACTCTGGCAAGAGTGAGGGACAGTTAGCAACAGAGGGGCCATGATGGTTAGGGGGCGCCAATGGAGCGCTGACCTGCCACTCTTCCTGAGCAGGGCATCTGCTCATATCGTTGCAGTTGGATAGAAAAATAGAGCAGCTAGATCATTGCTTTGTATGGAGCTCTTGAAAGGCAGGGTCACAGAGAGAGATAATGAGAAAAAAAGAAAGAGATCTTCCATTTGCTAGTTCACTCTCCAAAATAACCACAAAATCCAGGCCAAAGCAAGGAAATGGGAGCTGCATCCTGATCTCCCACATGGATACCAGGGCATCAAGCACTTGGGCTATCTTTCACTGCTTTTCCAGGTATATTAATGGGGAGCTGTAATAGAAACATTATGGCTGGAATTTGGAACCAGCACTCACAATATGGCATGCCTGCATTGGAAGCCACTATGCTGGCCCCACAGCCTTGTCTTTATTTGTGCTTGTGGAGTAAAAAGTGTGCTGCATCAGGGTATCTGCCCACTTATAGAGTGGCCCAGGGAAGGTAGGTACCCAAGGTTTCCATATATTTTTGTGTGGGAGAAGAATCCATTATTCTAGGGACTTTATACCCCTAAGAAGATTTTGCATGAATGTAGTAGGTTAGCAGGGTATTTGCATGTGCTGACAAAAAGTAAAGAAAGGTGGGCCTGGCATGATAGTGTAGCGGTTCAAGTCCTTACCTTGAATGCACCGGTATCCCATATGGGCACCAGTTATAATCCCAGTGGCCCTGCTTCTCATCCAGCTCCCTGCTTACGGCCTGGGAAAGCAGTCGAGGATGGCCCAAAGCTTTGGGACCCTGCACCCACATGGGAGACCTGGAAGAGGCTCCTGGCTTTGGATTGGCTCAGCTCCAGCCGTTGCAGCCACTTGGGGAAGATGGAAGATCTTCCTCTCTGTCTCTCCTCCTCTCTGTATATCTGCCTTTCCAATAAAGATACATAAATCTAAAAAAAAAAAAAAGAAAGAAAAGATAGTCCTGCTTCGTATTGAATCGGGATGTGTCTGTGTTTGTGTGTGTGTGTCTGTGTGTGTGTGTGTGTGTGTGTGTCTGTGTTCACATGAAAAACACAAGTGTTCTCCTTAATGCCTTTAAAGCTATAACTTAGTAAATTTTCTCAACACAAAGAACATGTTTATAATGGCAGTTTGAAGAAATAATACTAATGTAGAAGAAGAATGACTGCTGTTCCAGCCTTCACAAGAGAGCCACAGACACGTCCCTTTTGGGGTCTCTGTCCTCCAATTAGTTTCCCATGCTTGGGCACTCTTTTTATAAAAAGAAAAAGGAGTACCTTGTATGTGCTGTTTGACAGTTGGCTTCTTTTATTTAACATTTAATTGCCTTCCCAATGTCATTGAAGATTTTTCTATGCCAATGATTGCCAACCTCGTTTGTATTTGGAGCGCACTTTTGAGTCCTGTAATTTTGGGTGCAATGTTTGAAGAGGTTCAAAGACTCTTAAGCTCCTAAGGATAACAGTGTCTTTCAGCACCAAAACATTTGCCACCATGCTGCTTTCTGCTTGATCCTCTGTAAGAGCTGTGTCACTATTTGAAGAGAACTGTTTACTGCCCCCCCCCCGCTATGGACTCCTCCATCCTCAAAAGGAAAAACTGAGCACTTTCTGTGTTTTATTCTGAGCTTTTTATTTCTCCTTGCAGCAATATATCCTCTCTCCTGCACTGTGTGATCCCGGCAGCTCAGTGTTCCATTTCTGCAAGAGCGCATGTTCTGGTAAGCAGAAGTTGACCTGTAAAGCGAAGCTGTGTTGTTGCTCTCCTCCACCTTTCTTTCCCTTCCCTTGCCTGTGGAGTCTCAGACTGTTTTTCCTTTTCCCTATTGTAAACGGCAGCGCAGGGGAAGGCTTCACTGTCACATCTTTGCATTCATCAGGAGTTACGAGATAGAGAAACCTTGTTTGGTTGAGCTCCAAACATATTTTAATTTGTTATCAATTAGATTTTATTACACAGCAAGTTCACCCCAACATGAATTGTTTGAAAACCACAAACACACTGGCTTCAATCTCAGCTCACAATCTTGTGAGTCAGCGGAGTTCCTCTGGTCTAGGCCAACTCAGCTGACTTTTGCAGGACTTGCTCAGGCATCTGTGGTCAGCGTGTGGGCCGGGCTGAACTAGGATGGCCTGGACGAAGTGGCAGGCAGTTCCCTAGGGCAGCAGCGAGGTCAAAGTCACATGCAGTTCTGCCCCAGGTTTGCCCAGCTTTGCTCACCTGCTGGTGATGATGGGAAATGCATGGGCTGCAAGAAGGCAAGCCCTCCCTGGCCTTTATTGAAGCCTTAGGTTGCCTCCCTTTTGATATTTACCAGTCCACGGCCAGCTCAGAGTTTGCATGGAAAAGCTCTACCAACATGTGTGGAGGGGAAGTAGTCATTTGGGTCTGCATTTTTGCCATCTATCAGAGCCAAAACTTGAAAATTGAGGTTGCTGTGCCCTTTTGAAAAACCGAATTTGGTACTCTGGGTCCCCTCCACAACAGGCAAGCCTTTCCGGCATGTTGCCAATGCCCCCAGTGATGGGATGCTTGTCTCTCACACAGCTCAGTGCTCACAGTATGTGTGCCTGGGCCCTTTGTAGTACAAGACAACCTCAGTGGTTCCTAGAATGAGTGAACTAGATCCAGAATTGTCTGATGCTTTCATGCATT